AAAATTAAAAAAATACCAGTCAATAAAAGGTTCAATTTGCAACGACTGTCAAAATTTAAAAGTCATAAATGTCATTCAATTAATAGCAATATTGAATCATTTGTTTAAATTATTATGAAATTTCTTGTTTTAAAATAATTTCATATAAATATAATTATTAGTTTTAAACATCTTATTTAGTTTATACAATAATTTAATTTTCTATTAAATGATATTGAATTCTATTTTATTATTAATATAATATTACGTCTGAATTTGACAGAATGTGCCAGAATGTCTGCCATGTTTTGTTAATATGTTACCAGGTGGCGTTAGGAGCAAACATAATAATTTATAAAATTATTTTAATAGACTACAACTTAAATAAAATATAAATAATAAATAAATAATATACTTCGTTAATTGAATTTTAAAAATATTATATAAATTTTAAATAAAGCCTCGCGCTAGTCTATAGTACCGTTTACTGTAATACCTTCTTTTAAGTATCTGCTTTCTAATTATGATATATTTTTCTTATTCAAGTTCATATTTCAATTTGATTTCCTTTTTTAGTTATTTTTATATCACATCATTTGTAATCTTTATTTTTTAAGCTGATCTGTATAAGTTTTCTAAGTGCTTAATAATAATAATAATAATCACCATCCTCGAAGTGCAGTAGAAAGAACGACATTACCGCGGTATTTAGGAGGACGAGGACTTATTGATATAAGCGAGCAATTATATAAACATATTAATAATTTAAGAACTTATTTTCAGGTACAGGCAGAGACATCTACTCTTCATCGCGCGATTTGCGCAGTAATGCGCACCTGGATGGGTAAACCTCTGCACGGGCGACATCCGAATGAAGTCAGTCAAGACTATGTCGACAATATAGCGTCGAACTATTGGCTGACATCAGGAAAGATGTTCCCTGAAACAGAAGGTTCATTACTCGCCATTCAGGATCAGGTTATACCAACCAAAAATTATCTGAAATATATCGTCAAAGACCCTCAGGTCCAAAACGACAAATGCCGATATGGATGTCAAGCCCAAGAAACGATCCAACATCTTACCGGAGGCTGCCAGGCATTTGCTGCAACTGAATATAAGGAACGGCATGACTCAGTAGGGAAGATTCTCCATCAAGAGACAGCTTTTAAACTGGGACTTCTACAAACAAACCATGTCCCATATTATCAATACGTTCCTGAGAGTATACTTGAGACCATAATCATAATAGACCAGATCTCGTGTTAATTAATAAACTAACAAGACAAACAAGACTAATCGGTGTGGCGATACCTAACAACAATAATCTGCATGTTAAGTACAACGAAAAGATTGCCAAGTACAGAGATCTGGAAATACAAATAAGAAGGCAATGGAGAATGGAAAGTACTCAGACGATACCTATTATTCTTTCTACCACTGGAGTCATTCCGAAGAACCTCCTAGAAAACATAAAAAAGCTGGGTCTAAATGAACATCTATATAAAGTCATGCAGAAAGCTGTGCTACTTTCGACGTCCAGATGCGTGCGAAAATTTTTAGGTGATACACTGACGTACCAAGTCACCTAGAACTCGATAACGTGGAAAGAGTCCCACCAGAGCTCAATCCTTTTGATACCGTAGGTATCTGGGATAGAGGGAGTGTGAGCCGCATGGCTAAATCTGGATAATAATAATAATAATAGTGCCTTACGTGAGTAATAATCTCTATTAATCTGATTTATATAATGATCTCCTCTTGGAATTAATTCTTCCTGTTCGTTATCTACATCTTCCACTGGCCTTATTAATGGTTATCGAACCCCTTTTTGCTCTGTTTCAGGATCCCTGTTGCTTTTTTTTCTGATCTAACATATATTCGTTAGACGTCGCTGTCCACAAATTTTTCTCAAGTAATGGGCGGCGCCAATGTACAGTTCACATCAACAGTTCAGAAACCTACCCTTACGAATCCCTCCTAACTAAACAATAGATAGGAATAAACAGGAACTAGCTAAAAACAGGATTACAAGATGCACCTAATAGGAAACTCCAACTGTGAATAGATAATAATATGAATCTTAGGAATGTACATCAAGAATTATGGAAACATGATAGAATAAAAAATACACAGTGCAAAAAATTACCGAAGGGAAAAGAGAAAAAGAGAGAGATCATCCGCAAGTTTCCGAGAAGAAATTTACTTTGAAAATAACGATTATTGACTTGATGAAAACCTATGTCCAGATGAAGAGAGATGGAGCAATACCGCAATAAATTCAAAACAGAATATTTCTAGTATAATGATATTAATTAATTTTTAAATCTTTTAATCATCTACAATAATATTATATAATATAATATATAATATTATTTTGTAGCATTATGGTAGATACCAATGACGACATATTGTTGGTGTTTTGCAATGTGCCATTTATACCATTGTTTGAGTACCTTCCGTTGGAGGACTAAAAGGGATTGTCAAATGATCTTGCTTCCTAACATTATGTCGGCCATGATTAGAAATAAAATTAGATTTTTACGTTAATATAAAAATGATTATTATGGAATATGATAAGGTGTCACATCAGCTAGATTAGTATTATTTTTAGGTTGTGAATAAAATTATTTTTTTGTTGGTCATATAGTCAAGTGAGTCAGAGGGACGAATCGCATTCACTTCACTCTGAATGATCCAGTGGATCGATGATTCAAACCCTGGCTAAAAAACAACAAGTCCACCGTTGTAATTTTAAATTTAATGAATCTGCTAATTAGATCAAAATACACTGGTGTACTGGATCGACCTATGGATGAACAGTACGGCAAAAGATGAGGGCTTGCATCTCGGTGTTACTCATTCCATAGATCCCTATCGAACAAATACATACTCTTAAAAAACCGGAATATAGATAGAGAAAATTATCCAGTAATAATATTTGAATAAAATTTCTTGCCGCCAATATCTCAAAAGCTATATTGGTATTTTTTATTTTAAAAGTATCATTCAAAAATATTAAACATATATTTTTTGGACACGTACGTAGATTAACGTAATATAAAAGGTAAAATAATAAAAAAAAAAAGGATTAAATAATGTGTGCACCTGGAATAAATATTACTTGGTTCATATTTTTCAAAAATTCCAATATTAAAGGTACATCGAAATACACGACTGTCCTCATTTTGTGTTTCAACGATGGGTAGAAGGCACGTACCATTATTTATTTCAGCATAATGTTTATAAGTCACGTACGTGTTTCCCTCATATATTCTGATTAGTATTCTGCTTCTCTCACGATGCAGCACACGCTTTTGAGGCAAGCCTTATTTAATGACCTAATTCTATCAGCTTCTTTAACATATTCAATCGATTTCATATATTTTTGGTTAATGATCGGCGCCACTATGAATTACGTAATTTCCCAGATAGTTTGCGATCGTATCTGCAGCACTACACTGGCGATGTTTATGCTCTGTAGCTGTTGGTGCATTAAAAATATTAAAAGTTGCCGGCAAATAGTCGATTAAATCTCTACATTGCAAGCAAGCAGCAGGCAGGAAGTTTTTACTCGATTCAAATGTTCACTTGTACGAATTACATTGACCGCTGGCGGTAGGGGCAAAAAGAGTCATTGTGAATTGATACACTGTGAAAAATGGCTGTGTAGCAAACGAAATGTTTAACGAGGATTGCCTTTGAAAATTAATGAGAGATGGAGAGTTCAAGTTTGTCTTAATGTTGGCAGTTGGCATTATCCAATCACAATATAAAAGATTTCGATTTCCAATCCAGCAAAACCATTTAGTTAGAAAAAAAAATAGAAAGAAGAAATGTAATAAATAAAAATGACATAGTTACAAAGGCTTGATGCTTGTTAGTTTGGAAAAAAATAAAATTTATTATTTCATATTAGAATACTCATCAACAAACCGAAACATCGCGCGAAATCCACGCATATTGAAGGCACTAAGGAACCAACTAGACAATAATCGTTTCCTCACAGGAGACCTATGGAGAATCGATTCACTTGAAAGAAACTTTAAAGGGACAATATGCGAAATGTCCAAAAATTGTAGGACTAAATTTTAGGGGATGGGAGCTGATTATGGGCACATTGACCTGTGAAATCAGAAGAAATCATTTAACTCCTCCCAAGAAAGCACAAACTAAGTCTCACGACTAAGTGAAATGGTCAAATGTCTAGCCTAAAGGAAGGAGAAGAGGATCTCCGAGTAGAGCTGCAGACAAGTTTAACATTTGATCTTTTATTTTGAAGAATGCATTTAGTATCCTCTATAGCCTCAGTAACCTTCTTCAAATCTAATTTTGGTGACTGAAGAAGACGACTGATACAGTTGTACCTATAACTCTTCTGAGACACTCTATCACTAAGACTACTGAAATGAGAAATTCTTTGCTCCTAATAGTTTGCATTAATGAAAATGTATTAGCTGACATTATACTGTCTCTCCACGTAGAAATTGTTTCAATAGCGTTGTATATTTTGATGATTGATACGCCCTGGAACTGAAGATGAGCTTCATGCCTTTCAACCCAACGAGTTTCACAAATACCTTGGAATAGCAACCCGCAGTTCCTTCTTAAAAACATCATATCATTTAGGAGGAGCATTAGTAAAATCTACTACTTTTCTCATAGTTCTTGAAGCATTACGACATGATATAACTTTTGAGGAGCTTGCCAAGGAAATATTTAAAATATGATTGCTACATGGACAACGCACAGCATGTTGGGCCGATTTTTTTAATTCGTTAACGGCGCCTTTATTTACGGAATTTTCAACAATGTGGCCTAAAGCAACTCCAGTTAAGCGTAGTTCTCCTTCTGAACCGTTGTCTTCTTATTGAATCGAATCGTAAGCGTTAATAAATGTGATGAAATCTTCCCAAATCTCATACTTAGCTGACTGATGCTTGAAATATCTGAATATCTGTCGTTTCATCAAATATGATAGTAAATAGTTTTGCTTCCTTAACGCGTGATATAATGGTACATTAAATTTCTTCCTTGCAGCAAGAAATGATAGTTTCTTGCTGTAAGGCAATTTGAATAGTTTTACTAATTAATGCAGCATTAGCCGGAGCAGCTTCCAAATGTTTTCGCAGATCATTATCGCCAGCATCTATCCTAAACCGAAGCAATGCTCTAAAATTGCCATCATTTTTTTCTGTACCATCGCTGTTTACAATACTTTTAATATTTTTATCATCCCTATGCGCTCTCACAGAAATAGTTTGTCTACCACAATGAATAACAGTTTTTATTATTGGATTCAATTTCTTTCTTGTATTGTTGCAAAGCGATGAATGTGTATACGATTAGCAATTTTCAATTCTGGCTTATTATATGTTAAAAAAAGTCTTTGCCAAAATTTACAGCGTCTATATGGTATTGATTTTTTCATGAACAATCAAATCGCCTTGTTCTTCTAAAAAAGCTTATCAAATTTTTTCAATGGCTCTTTTGATTTTCAATTGAAAATCGCGTAACTCTGAATTCGTGGAAGTAGTGATAGTTTTAGTGGAGGTATTACTATATTCAGAATTGTTAATTTTTTTAAAGAGCAATGTAAAAAGGCTTCCGCTTAATTCTACACTTCATCATCATCATCAATGGTACTACAGCCCTATGAAAGAGCCTCGACCTACCCAACTCTATTACGCCAGGCAGTCCTATCCATTGCCAACCGTTGCCAGTTTGCTGCGCCTATCTTTCTACCATCCTCATCTACACCATCCTTCCATCTGAGTTTTGGCCTACGCCTTTTTCTACTTCCCACGGGTTGTGACATAAGGATTCTTTTAGGAGGGTTGTTCTGCTGTGATCTTGCTAGATGTCCTGCCCATCTTAGTCTTCCTATTCTTATAAGAGATACTACGTCTTTACCACCAAATATTTGTTTATATCTGTGGTATACCTCGTAGTTGTATCTCCTCCTCCAAACACCATTTTCACAGATGCCACCAAATATTCCTCTCAGGATCCTTCGTTCAAATATAAGCAGAAGGTCTTCGTCTGCCTTGGAGATGGTCCATGTCTGCGATCCATATGTCAACACTGGCTGTATAAGGGTTTTGTGTATGGTTATTTTTGTTTTTTGGCTTAAGTTTCTACTTCTCATATGTCTACTCAGTCCAAAATAGCATCTGTTTGCCATTATTATCCTTCGCTTGATTTCTTCCGTTATGGCGTTCTCTTTGGTGATCAGGGAGCCTAAGTATGTGAATTTGTCCACCATTTCAAAGGTAGAGTTATCAACTGTGAATTGGGGACCGATGTTCCTGACTCTATTGTTGGGTGTTGATGCCATCATCTTAGTTTTCTCCTCATTTACTTGCAGGCTCATAGATTTTGAGGCATTTGAGAAGGTGGTATACATTTCTTCTAGCTTACGCGTTGTGCGGGCAACTAGGTCCACATCATCTGCATATGCCAAAATTTGAGATGATTTATTAAAAATATTTCCTCTGTTGTCTATTCGGGCATCTCTAATCGCCTTTTCCAGTGCTATATTGAAAAGGAGACACGCCAGCGCGTCTCCCTGTCGCAGCCCAACATGCGTTGTTTATCAATCTTATCAGTTTATCGGGGATGTGGAATTCATTCATGGCTTCATACAATTTATTTCTTAGGACACTATCATAGGCAGATTTGAAGTCTATAAAAAGATGGTATGTATCGATATTGAATTCATTGGTTTTTTCCAGTATTTGCCTTAGCACAAAGATCTGATCTGTTGTTGATCGACCAGGCCTAAAACCACTTTGATATTCCCCGAGAAGTTCATCTGAATATGCACTTAGGCGACCATATAAGATCCTCGAAAATATTTTGTATGCTGTATTAAGGAGGGTTATTCCCCTATAGTTTCTACATTCTAATTGGTCACCCTTTTTGTGTAGCGGGCAAACGATTCCAATACACCACTCTTCCGGGATTTGTTCCTCATTCCAGGCTCTCAGTATTATTTTATTCTACACTTACCCCTAGAATAAATGAGTTTGAATCATTCAAACTCTTGACTTCCTGCTTATAGGATTGATGGGTTTTAAATTATTTTTTTTAGGATTATTTGATTGACATTTATTTTTGGTTGGTGGGGGGGATCATTGCCCCCTGTGACCCCCCTTGGATCCGCCACTGTTTTAACAACGGTTAATAATATAGTGACTATGTGCTCTGGTATGACAGGTGTTAGTGAAAGAACCATTTAAGTGAAACAAATTAAGGAAACATTACCGAGCCAAAAAGACATGAAGGAAAACAACCAATGGAAATTGATGTCTTATAGAAAAGTCCTTCGGAGAAGTTCATTTGTTCTATTTTACTAAGGAGATTCCTACATTGGACACCATATTAGACGCAATAAGAAATAATAATTTCCCCACTTTGGCCCAGATAAGTTATAGAAATTATTTAAAGAAATCGGTTTTTGCTATGAAAATCAAAGAAAAACCAATATTGAATGATACAGAAACTATTTGCTAGCGAAGGCAATATTTCAGAATGATAAAAAGATTTAGATTAGAAGAAAGATGCATTTTCTATTTAGATGAACCCGGGCTTAACGAAAATCATACGGTTTCAAAGGTATGGGCAAATAAAAATATAACAAGTAACATCAACAAATGTGCATTAACATTAAATGCTCCATTCTGTATATACTGGAAAATAAAAAAATCCAGCCACTATGTTTTACATGTTATTATAAAATTTTCAGAATATACCTGCTTACGACAAAGTCTGAGTTCACTGTAAACTTCAGCTTTGAGTTATAAATCGTTCACCTGAACAATAGGACATCTCGAGGTCAAGTGATATTTAGAGGGATGATTTCCTAAAACCTTTAAACCGACGCCGCATCTCCATTAACATTTTGTTCTAGCCTTTGTCGAAAATTGTAAATGTTATAGATGCAAAATAGATTTCAAGCCGGATATTTTTAAAAGGATTAGATGGGAACCGGTAGTGAGCTCTTGTGAATTCGTAATACAAATATATGAAGGACACCTGACCGGAAAGTAGGATGACACTTTTCTAAAAAAAAGCTCCTTTCGCATGCGGACGAGTATAGAATAGCGTAACGGGGAAAATTAAATTAAAAATGATTAATGTTTTAGGGGAATTTGTAATAAAAATCAGATTTTGTTAGACCTCACGGAATTTATAAAATATGTCAACCGAAAGTCTGGACAATTTGTTAAAACCGTCATTTTAACAGGTTCTGCATTATGTGACCCAATGTTTGATTTATGGCACATGTTAATGTATAAAAAAGTCATTGGTGCTCATATTAAACGATTTTGAATATAATATTTTGAAATCAATCGAAGGAATATAATTTGATTTTAAAAATTTACAATAGCCAAAAAAGAATTGGAACCATCTAAGTCACATTTAAATAGTTTTGAGATATTCCTAATTAAAGATAAAAAACGTTAAAGGAGTGGTGATGTCAAAAATGAAAACGATTTTTTTTATTAAACTCACTGTAATAGATATTAGTCCAAATAACACAAAAGAAAAATTAATAAAAATGTAATGTCATAAAAATGTGTGGAAACACTGATCAAAGTCCAGTTCTGTTTAAAGTGCCTGCAATTGTATGGAACAACCGATCGAAGTCCAGGTCTGGTTAAAGTGCAGGGTACACACATGCCAGTAAATTGGGAAAGTAGCTCGCATGCCAGTTGCTGGCATAGGCCAGAACCTAGCAAGCGCAAAACACATTTGCTAGTAATTGGCATGCCAGTAGCTCGCTTGCGTATACTGGCAAGGCGAAAAAGCATGGTAGATTTTTACACATGCCAGTGCTAGTAAACAATCGAGTGGTTTTCATCTGAAACTAAAGTACTTGTTTGTAATTAATAGTTTTTGAGTTTCTGCCAAAAAAAGGGGGATCCATGGAAGGTATTCGGAATTTATTTAACAAGCAAATATTGCTAATGAACACAGAGAGATTTAATAATGAATCCGAAGCGGAACTCAAAAAAGAGAAAAAGTTGGATGAGAAATTGGATTGGTAGGCGAGAGAATCTTGGAGCAATTTTTTATTTTGGCCTTTATCTCCTTTATAGTAATACATTCACCCATTTTCTATGAATTTTTGTGTAAGCATCACCACGGGCTATTTTATTTTTATATAGAGATGATAGTCCAATTCTCTATATATAGCTGTCACCTCCGGGGAACAAATAGCGGTCTGAACTCCTTCTATTGCCTCCAGGTGCTCTGTAGAGGGTTTCGGAGACGTCAACGAATGCACCTCTACCCAAGTCCATTTACGGGATATAGACTTGTGAAGTTCTCTTCTGATGGGCTTGTCTTGAAAAAGACGAGCTATTTCTTACATGGCTTAGTAGTCGAAATAAATATCAGGTTGTAGTCTTCGGTGGCTTGCCTTGACAAAGGCAAGATATTTCTTACATGACAAAGATATTAAGGTTTTCGAAATAAAATCACCAAATATTCAGTTACTCAGCCACAGAGTATGAAAAGCTAAAAAGGAAGCAGAGCCCCGAGAGCACTAAGCTCTCCGAGAGCCCGTGAAGGACTGACTTGGCTGACTATAAAATAAAAATAAAAATAAAAATAAAAATAAAAAATAAAAACGTTTATTGCCTAATAAAATATACATGTCATTTATTTCATTCATTTTAGCCTTCTTTCTTCTGATGTACCGCTAATGCACCATCTTCTTCTTCTTCTTTTTCAACCTCTCGGCATCCTGGACTTCTCTGGGTGGTTTCCTCGTCTTTTTCTGTAGGTACTTTTTTAAGGCATCGTACCTACTTCCCTGCTATGCTGTTTTTCAGCAACCATACGGCTAGACCCTGATCAGGTGGTCGATCAGTTTATGGGTTTGTCTATGCATCCTCTGGACCCTGTTATTCTCGAGGATGTCTCTGGTCTTATGGAGTCTTCTTGTGGCCTGGAAGAAGTTTCTTGTTCTTTTCTCGGCCACCTCCCTCAATGGTGTGTACTGGAGCCTTTCTTTTATGGTTGCATTCGTTATTCTTTCATCCCATTGTGCTCCGTCGATTATACGGTAACACGCTGTTTCTGTAGCTTCCAAATTCTTCCAGTGGCTCTCTGCTATGGAGCTCCAAACTGGGACAGCGTATAACATCACCGATCTAACGTAGGCCTGGTATAATTGGATTTTCTTGGCCTTCGTTAGGGGGCTGGACCTGAAAATATAAGGAAGTATTAGTTTTT